GCCCCTGCCACTGGATGTGTTCCGGCTTTGCACCATTTTTTGTGCTGGGGCCCCAAAACGGGAGCACAGCTGGATGCCGCGCAGAAGCAGCACACCGCAGGGTTGGTGTCGCTGCCACGAGGGCGCAGTGCTGGTTCGCACACCTCTGGCCACCATCTTCCCCCCCCCACCCCTTGGGGCCCTTTCCCTGTTCCCCCAGGGCCTTCTGACCGACTGCCTGAGGGTAGTGAGCGGTTTCCAGCTGGATTTCCAACAGCTGAGGGCTATGGTGCAGCCAGTTTTCTGGTGGTTCCCCTGCCCCGCTCCCCCAGCTGCCACCCGGGAAGCTGGGCTTTGCAGCACCCTCGTGCCCAGCGCAGCCCCAGCCAGTGTTCCTCCCTGTCTGCCCCCGTTCTCCGCGCTGTGCCCCGGCTCTCCCAAACCCGTGCTGGGGTTGGATGTGTGTGTGGGACGTGGTGCCGAGCCGGGCTGTGCCCTGCCCGCAGCGTGTCCAGGGTCCCCACCAGTGGCCCTGGTGCCTTTCACTTCCCCCTGCAGCCTGCGGCTGAGCTGGCTAGAGACATGGGCTCAGCTGCTAGGGAAACTTGGAGGAACTGAAATGGTGGCACAGGGGACCCTAGTGCCACTGAGCCAGCAAGCGTGAGGGCAGAAGCAGTGATGCTCTGGGGGCAGCAAAGTTCGGGGGCTATAGGAGCCCATGCTCTGTGTCCAGATGGGGCAGCTGGGATTGAGGTGACTGCGGTACCCTGCAACCTGCCACATCCTCCTTGCGTGCCCCAGGGGAAGAGCCCTGTCCCACCAGGCCATGCTGGGCTGGTGGGCTCTCCCAGGAGGCACCTTCTGTCCTGCTAACACTGTCCCTTCTTTTTTTCTCCCCTCCAGGAATGAAGCCTTGGAGATGTAAGTAGCAGTGCCAGGTCCCTGTGTGGGGTGGGGGGCAGCTCCTGTGGCATGAGGGGGGACAGGGCACAGATGGAGGGGGGTGAGGAGGGGAACAGGGTGAGTGCAGGCCAAGGAGGGTGTAGGTACCAGGGGAGGACTGGGAACGCGGGACCTGTGCAGTGTAGAGTGTTCTGAGGTCCCCCTATCATCTTCTCACACTCCTAAGTTTGGGGGTGCTGCTGCTCCCAGCCTCCTCCAAGCTGGTGGAGTGTGTGTGGATGGTCTCCATACCCTCTTTTGTGAGGGTGGGATGACATTTAGCCATCCTAGTGCATCCTGGGCTGTCTCCTGCTCTCCTCTCTGGCTGGGGTTACACAAGTGACTTTGGTTTTGCAGGCCACCCATGTTTAACTTCTACAAAATCCCCCGGCCGTCCACAAGGCATTAGCCCCCGTCACCCACAGCACAGGCATGGAGGAGATGGACACGGCTGCCCTGAATGCTGCACTTTCTCCTTGGGTGCTGGGGAGCAGGTTGGGACCCCCTGGCTGAAACCCCCTCCCCAGGTGGGACTTCACCCCCCAACCCCTGCCAAATCCTGTGGGTTTGGGACAGCTCACACTGTCCATGCCACTGTAGCCTGCGCTGCTGGCCAGCGGGAACCTGCTCACCCAGGCCCCTTGCTCGAAAAATGTGACTATTTATTTTTTGCAGGGAGCCTGACTTTTTCCAAGGCTGTGATTTTTTTTTGGTATCAAACAATAAATGGGGTGTTTGTGTGCACTGCAGGCATGCGGCTGCACTCTTGATGTCCTGCTGCGATGGAAGGGCACAGTGGGAGGGGTAGGGAGGGTTCCCCACTGCTGGCACAAGCTGGGGCTGTGCCTGGGACTAGAGGGCTCTTGCTGTGATCCCCAAGCGTGCTCTGCCTGCAGCCAGCTCTTGGACTCCTGACCCAGCCCAGGGGTTGATGCAGGACCGCTGCTCAGTGTCACCAAGGCTCCCCGCACTGGGCAGCCCTTTGCACTTGTGGCTGGGTGGGTGCCAGGTCCTTCCCTGAGAAAAGCCATGCCAAAAGCCTCCTGTCCATGAGGTGCCCCCCTGCCAGAGCACGGGCACTTCCCTGTGCCCTCCAGCAACCCTGGTATGTGTCATCTGTGGGTTTCCAGTTAGTTTATGGGGTGCCTGCAGCCCACACCTCCTTCCCTCTACTGGGTATGGTGGCATGGGGGCTTTCAGTGTCCACCCCTGCATGTCCCATGCTGCTGCATGGCACGGATGGGCACAGCGAGAACTGCATGCACAGATAAGCCAAGGGCAACTTGGTCTGCATCCGTGATGGGGTAAGTGCAGGCACTGCTTTGCACTGCTCCTTGGCGCAAGCACAGGGCCCATCCCGAATGCCGGGTCAGGCACAGGGGACGTACGTGAGCAGCTTGACTCATTTCCTTCGTTGCAAAGTCCAAGTCTCTCTGGAGCAAGAGACAAAGCTGAGCTGGCCAGCTCGCCCTCTGCTCTGTGCGTCTGTTTTATCGTTTTTTTCCATTTGCTTTCAGATCTTCTAATCACTATTTTTTCCTTCAGGCGTTATCTGAAGCTGCACTGGCCTTACCTCTTGCTATCTCTCCCCAGCACCTGTCCTAACTGCAAAGAGAGCCTCGCGCTTGCCTATCACCCAGCTGAATCTGCCCTGCGTGGTGGCTCTGCCCCTGCTCCCCCCAGGGATGCCCACCCTTTCTGGTCCTCGGGGAGGGATTTCCTGGCGCCCCCTTGGAGACCATTCAGCTCAGTTTTGTTTCCACTTGCTCTGCCTTTGCTCTTCTGCACCCTAAACCCTCAACCGCCCGAGTTGTGACTGTTTAGTGCTTGTCTAGGGGCTGTGTGGAGGTTTCCATCCCCGAGCCCCAGGCTGTCCCCACTGCACAGCGTCCCCTGCTTCCTCTTCCCTTGCTGTGCCTCAGAGACACCAACCCGCGCAGGACAGCTACTGGTTTCAGTTTCCGCTCGCTGGCTTTGTGGGCACTGCTCCCTCCCTGCTGCCCTCTCTGCTCAGCCTCCAGCCGCAGCCTCTTCTCTGGAAGGCAGGGAGCTTGACCCTCCAGGGGCCACCTCCATCCAAACCCAGCCCTGGCAATGAAAGTCTCCCCCCAGATGACTGCACAGCCTTTGCCAAGGCGTGAGGCTTGCAATCAGCAGCTCCCCATTCAGCGCTGCCCCAGGACAGCATCCGAGTCCTGGGAGCCGCAGCTTTGAGGGACCTGGGTCCATCCCCCTCCTCCCGAGCAGCCTTGGGAGGGTGGCAAGAGCAGTGTCAGACAGGGTCAGCAGCTGCTCGGAAAGTCTCCCCCCAGATGACTGCACAGCCTTTGCCAAGGCGTGAGGCTTGCAATCAGCAGCTCCCCATTCAGCGCTGCCCCAGGACAGCATCCGAGTCCTGGGAGCCGCAGCTTTGAGGGACCTGGGTCCATCCCCCTCCTCCCGAGCAGCCTTGGGAGGGTGGCAAGAGCAGTGTCAGACAGGGTCAGCAGCTGCTCGGGGAAGAGGCGAGAACGGCTCGTTGCAAAAT